TTTTCAGGGCTGAGCTGTTCAGGAAGAGGTGCACCCTTGCTGTAATGACAGTTAAAAAGAAATCACCAAGCAGTGGCTTAGGTTTCTGCTGAAGACCTGGCTGTATTATAGATTGGTGCTTTATAGGCTATCAATCAGTCTGAATTGTGCTCTGAAGCACATGTAGCTCCCCTCTCTGGTAATGAATGCTATTGAGTATTGCCCTAAACCCATGCCTGGGAAGAAATTGCTTTTGCTATTAGATTTCATCTTCCTTCTCATAACTGATTTATGTGTCTTTGTAAGTTAATAATTTCAGTAATGTGAGTAATCCTTTACCTGGAAATTACAGAAAGTAAGCTGAAAATTGGGAGTTAGAAGAAGGAAAAAGCAGGAGCAGTTTAGTCTCTTCTGGGGAGGGGGAAGAAATGGATCTGGGCTGCTTTGCGGTTGCTGTTCACCTTTGGGCAACCTTTCAGTGAATTACACTTGTGCAAATCTCTTTAAATTATGCTAGATTGGAAATTGAAAGTATGGAGGGAATTGGTGGGAGGAGAATCCAAATTAATGACTTGTCTTTGGTTTGATTTCATGGTATGCGATTTACAAAATTAACGTTCATTAATAAGTGTGAAATGTGCATGTGCAAATGTGACTTTTGAAAAAGCTGTGGCTTGGACCTGCTGCTGAATTACAGAGCTAGTTAATTGAGCTCAGTCAAGTAAAATGCCTTCAGCTTGAGTGGTGCTCTGTATCAGAAGGGTTTCTTTGTCTGATTTTCTTGTTAAGATAAATACCGCTCTCTGTTTGGATAAGTTTATGATTTGAGGGTTTTGGTGGGAGCAGGTTGATGCAAAGAGCTTTCTTCCCCTTCGTTCAAGTATTTCAAGCCAGCTTGCTCACATTATGACTTTTGTGGTCTCAAGCTTTAAATGGATTAATACAACTTCTGGGGATTGCCCATCCCACCTACGTGTCCCTTAGTGTGAGGGGAGCGTGGCCCTTTGTTGGCAGCTGCCTTTGGTGATGTAAGGCAGTGCTGCTGATCCTTGTGATGTGTGATGAATAGCAGTCGTGAAAAACAACGGCTAAGCTTGCTCATAGTCAGTGTCCCTGACCTTGTCAGAGCCATATCTATGCTGGAACAAGTGAGGGAAGATTTTTAATGCCTTTTGTGGCTGTTAGCACTAAATATGGCAAAATGCTTGTGAACTATGAGCAGCAGTATGCTTTGCTGTCCTGTGTTTACTCTGGGAAATGCACTGGTCCTTTTCATGTTATAGAATGGTCAGCATCTGAGATGGAATTTGTGAGGAGCTTTGCTGTGTTGGGCTGTCTTGATGTTCTGGTGATGTCAAACTTTGTTATTTTAATAGACAAATGGCTTCAGAAAGTTCTTTCAGTGAGAGCATCTCTGCCAATCCCTGCGGAAGACTTGATGCCCAAGCAATGACTCATAAATGTCAATCTAAGATCTCAGTGCTTAATATTCACAATTGACGTTCTGCACTAATATGCAAGCTTGCCATGTCCTAATAAAATTGTTCAAAAAAGTGTCTGTAAACCCTTCTGATTAAAAATTAAACATCCGTCAGCTTATTCAGTTACTGTTCTTCATCTCACATGCCTGCACCACTGAGGCCAGCTTTGACATCAAAAAGCTGTTTTAAGTGTGTTCTGTCTGGAAAATGGGGGCTGCTCTGGGCTGTCAAAGACTGCCTTCAGTTCTATGGGGTACCCAAATGCAAAGAAGTCCCTCTTCCACAAGCTGGGCCTTCAGTCTCAAAACCATTGGCTAAATAGGGCACTGGAAAAGTGGGAACGAGTCTTTTCATTCTCCTTGGTAGCTGAGAAATACAAAAGAGGTGACATATGCCAGTTCTTTTGTGCTCTGAAAGACCCAGGGCTGGGCTGCTGGTGCTGTGGACGTGGCATGAGGGGGAAGGCAGAGAATCTATCTGAATTTCATTGTAAAACGCTAGCAGAGAGAGTCCTGCTATTAGAGAAGTAAACCTTAACATCAAGCAAGAATGTGTGTAGCTGTTAAAATTTATTTTTAAAGCTATCTGCACAGCCTACATTTGAGCCTGTTGCTTCCTGACTCAGAAGTGTTGCTTTCCTGATGTGTTTGTTTCCAGGATGTCACACACCAACATGTTTATTGTTAATTACACTTGTATGAAAGTTTAGTCGTCTTCAACTTGCCAGCAATATCGCATGTCTGTAGAGTGGGACCCTGAGCCCCCTCCTGCTTGCTGGGTGGCAGCTGCTGTAGCTGGGACACATTCCAAGCTCTGAGAGTTCTGCTGAGCAAGAACTTCAGGTGAAACTGGTTTCTCACTTACAAACAAAATTATAGTCTACAGATTGATTGTAGCACTAATCTGTTGGGCAGATTGCTGGAACATCAAGAAAACTTGTCTGGTCTCTGTTTCTGTTGTTTTCAGGTGAAGATTTGTCTGTATCTGTATGGAAAAAAAAAATTAATTGCATTCAGTCATGCAGAAATTGACCCGTTTCCTAGGGTAAGCAATAACCATGTCAGATCTTGGGAGCTGCAAAGCTTTCCTAGGTTAGTTCCTACCCAACTGGACTGGAGGTCATGGTATTAAGCTTCTGGTCCCTGCAATCAGGGCAAGATGTTGATTTTTAAATCTCTCTTAAAAACACCAACTGATCTTGGCTTAAATGCTTGGGGATTTTAACAAAACATACCAAATAGCATGGCATTGGAGATAAAAATAAATAAATAAATATAGTAAAATCACAGATGGAAAGCATGGAAAACTCAGCCAAGGTTTTGTTGTTGTATTAAACTAAGCATATTCTTTGTTTAGGATTCTGAGAGGAACTGCATGCTTTCAACACCCAGGTAATTGCTATCAAGGAAATGCTTCCTGGGTGAGTGTCCCAGCATCATCAGGAACAGGGATTAGTTGGACAGAGCTTCTAACTTAGTGCTTCTTAGGGCACAGAGTAGGCTTATGCATTACTAAAGCTGATGACAGGAAATGCAAGGTGTTTCCAAGCTCAGTAGTAAGCACTTGATTTTTCATTTTTAATGATTAAATGATATTGGCAATGCTTCCATTCCCCATTACATCTCACGCATGTAGAGCTGTAATTAGTAAGGGGAACCCAAATAAGGGCAACATCAGCTCCTCTGTGGAAAATACCCCGTGTGGATTTTTCTCTGCCTGTTTAAGGGATGTATAAGAAATTCATCCCTGGAGAAGACATAGAAGCATCAGGTTTATGTAGGATGAAAACAATTTGAAATAAGAGCTATTTTTCATAGCAGAATATTCTGTTGCTCTGTGCTGGAGAGGATTGAGGAATAAGCCATGTTGATTTTCTGAATTCCATTAAGACTTTAATTTTAAGCCTGTGTATTTTTAAAGGAATAAACAAAATGGTAATGCTGACTGCAAACTTAGTTTTCATTATGTGCACAGATGAATATAAATGCAGTGCCTTTCAGATACGTTGGCTGTGAGAAGCAAGGTTGTGGTTCTTTGCACACACAGCAGCATGGAGCGATGGGTCAGGCTGCTGCAGCTGCCAGCTGCCTCATCTTTGTTTCCCCCCTCCTCACCAAGTGAGCTTTGATTCTGTAAAGCCATTGAATGCACTTTTACCACCTTTTGCCTTAAGAGAAACAGCATTCCTAATTGTCTGCTGAATATTTGGTGGGGTTGTGGGGTTTATCTTGCATCCCTCCTTTTCTCCTCTGAATATTTGCATCACTAGCTCATCTTCTGGCACCCTGAGCTGCAGGTTGCCTTCACTGGAGGACAAGTAATACATTCTACTCTTTGTAGCTGGAATGTAGGATGTGTTTGTGTAAAGTGTTCCCAAGATTCTCATTGTTGGAAGTTAATGCTTTAGTAAAAGTATGCGGCAGCATCTTGTGTTGTAAAAGCAAGTAGAAACCACTGGAGGTGATTTTATTTTTGTCTTCTGTTGTTCTTTATTCGCTGGCTGACAATATTGGAGCAGAACAGTGAGAGTGGGTATTCCTGGTGGTTTTTTTTTTTTGGTGGTCATGGGGATTCTTCTAACATTTTACTCCCAGATTTTTTAAAATAAAGATCTCTGTGCTTTGTCATGCATGGGCTGCCCCTCCCCCCCGATCAGAAGACTGAATTTACATCTGTTAAAAGTAAAACCTTCCTTTCCCCCAAAAAATAAACAATGCAGCAACTTCCCTTTTTGAAGACAACGTTTGGCCTTAGCCTTCAATTTTGTGAGCTGGCAAAAATTGCTCTGACTCCTGTAGCTGGTGCCTGTTGTTAGGTGGCATTTTTGTAGATCAAATTTCTACTTTATAATAATGTTTAGATTTGTAGTTGAGGTTTCTCATTTGTCTCCATACTGCTGCACATAATGGGATAGGAGTTGTCTTTTATGATTGTTGACATTTTGAAGGTTGCTTGCTACTTAAAGTTGAATATAAATGTTTTGCTTGAGGCTAGCTAAAAAAGAAGAGCTTAAGAATGGTAGGTCTTCTTGTAGGGAGGTTCAAAATGGCTGAAGTTTTTCTTGCTGGGTTGGTTTGCTTGTTATTTGATTTTTCTTGCTTTCTGGTATCCAGCTGTCTTTCCCTCTGGCCACATGGCTCTTACTCATTTGCTGTTGTTGCTTTTAGAATCTCCCTGGATCTTCTGTGCCCTGGCACTGAAGCAGGAGTGTACAAGTATTTCCTTGTAATGAAATGTGATGGGGAAAGGTGGAAGAGGAATTTAAGAAATGCTGTAAGAGCAGTTAAGTAGGATGTGACAGCTGTATGTGTTAGCCAAGTGTGTGCCAAGATGCAACTCTTGTAGTTTACTGTTTATTAGACAAGATACAATCCTATTTCAGAACAGCTGATGAACAACTGTGACAGCTACTTGATGCATCTTCTCCGATTTTAGGACAACAGATACTGCTGGTTGGCCTCTCCTGTCATGCTGAGGGTCAGTGTAAGTGTCTGCTACTGGAAGGCATTCCTGTGGTAACATATTCTTCTTCCTTGACAGGATGTTCCGTCTTCGACTTCTTCCCATCGCAGCAGGGCTGGCTGCTGCTTCGCGGCGTTACCATGGGGCAGCACATCATCCCAGGGCCCGGAGTCGGCTTGTGCTGGCAGCTTTCGTAGGGACAACTGCAGTGACAGCGAGTGCCAGGCTCCTTTGGCAGAGGTAATGGTTTTCTATTTCTTCATAAGATCTCCTGCAGCTCTAGATCCTGTGGTAAGTACCTGCAGGTGTGTTTAAGATCTGTGGGAGGCTTTGTGAAGTGTTGTTGCTTGTTCTGCCTCTGGCTGCTTGGAAGATACAGAAAATGCTGCCGGTGGCCTCCTGGAGCTTCTCACTGTTCTGAGTAGTCAGAAATGAGAAAATCTCTAGTCTGAAGAATTCTGTGGCTGTACTCAGCACAGGCTGTTTGCCCTTGGTGGGGTCTGCTGCTAGGCTTATCCTGTGTGGTGGTGCTGCACAGGCCTGTGGTATTGTGCAAACAAACCAGCTGACTCAACCAGGCTGGGTGAAAACTCCCAGCTTCTGGGGGACCTACTAACAACAGTGAGTTTAGTCAGGGGAAGCTACACTGTTGTGTTTTTTTTTTATTCTTCTGGTTGATGTAATTAGAAAATGTAGCGGGGGGAATGGAAGGAGACAGCCCATCTTTTAGTGGTAAGGTAGCTGTGGGCAAGGTGTGTTTTTTAAGTGCCAGAGTCTGAGTGTATGGTCTCACAAAGTTCAAATCTTGATTTCATGACTGTGAGGAGAAAGGTGCTATTTGCCCTGCCTGTGATGGTTCTTGCCGAACTCTGGGCTGTGCCCAGAGCATATAATAAATACAGAAGGATTTCATTATCTTGCAGCATGAAAGTGGTGTAGCACCAGCCATGCCACTTGAGCTCAGGCTGCATTGAGGAATGAAAGAGAAGTCCCTGCTCAAAACCCACCTTACTTTTGTTCTAGTATGGTACGGTTAGTTGTTACCTCTCTACTGGACTGTTTGGCTAGAAGGCTGTACTTCTAATGTAATGGGAGGAAGGGGATGCTAATTGTTCTGGCTACTACTAGTCTTGTCAATTACAATATTGCTTGCTAAAAGGATTTCTCAGATCAAGGAAGAACACTGATTCAGCAGTGTCATGCTCTGATTTACTAATTTGCATTTGTGGAGTGCTTCTTTATCTGCAGGACCTGAATGTGTGGCCTTGCAGCATGGGGGAGGCTTAATTCCTCTGTAGTGATGGCCAAATTAACCCACTTTTCAGTCAGTGGAGTGAGCACTTTTTCTACTTAAAACATCTTCTGTGTGATTGAGGATGTTATGTCCTACATAAGGCTCTCCCAAAGACATTAAGTCCAAGAAGGCATATTTCCTCCCCTAGCGAGCAATAAGGAAGGCTGGTAACAGCAAGCAAGGAGAATGCTGAGGAAGAACTTTTTCGCCAGTCTTCACTGGCAACTGTTCTTCACATATCCCTGTGGGGTGCAGCCCCTACTACCAGTACAAGCTGGGAGATGTAAGGCAGAGCATGACTCTGCTGAAAAGGACTGGGGGGACTGGTGGAGGCAGTTGGACATCAGCCAGCACTGTGCCCTCACAGCCCAGAAAGCCAACCATATCCTTGGCTGCCTTCAGAGCAGTGCAGCCAGCAGGGTGAGGGAGGGGATCTGTCCCTCTGCACTGTGAGACCTTACCTGGAGTGTTGTGTCCAGATGGGGAGTCCTCAATACAGGAGAGACATGGAACTGTTGAGGTGTGTCCAGAGAAGGGCCACAAACCTGATCCAAGAGATGGAAGACCACCTTGCGAGGACAGGCTGAGAGCTGGGGCTGTGCAGCCTGGAGAAGAGAAGGCCCATAGCAGCCTGTCAGTATCAAAAGAAAAGGATAGTTTATCAGGGTCTGCTCAGGTTCTGACATGAAGAAATGGTTTCACACCAGAATGGGGGATTTACAGAGGATATAAGGAAGAAATATACTACAATAAAGGTGGTGAGGCACTTGCACAGGCTGCCTAGAAAGGTGGTGGTGCCCCAACTCTGGAAACACCCAAGGTCAGGCTGGACATGGCTCTGAGCTCCTGATGGTGTACACCTGTTCATTGCAAGGGGATTGGATGAGGTGACCTTTAAGGGTCCCCTTACAACTCTAACAATTCTGTGATCTCCCTCCTGCAGCAGGTTTGCTTCTATTTTTTTAAAAACAGCAAAATTGTTACATTTCATCAGGAAGATAGTGCTTTCTGAATGGAGCTACTAATTATATGCTGAGCGCTAGTCAGGGGTTATCTGCAAAAGTGATTTTTAGCTCCTTGAGTACCCAGCTACTCCTGAGACCCCTAGGATCTGCCACCAGGTGTGACCTTGCTTAACTGAAGGCACTGATAAGCATCAGATAAAGCAGACAGGCTGCATCTTTGGGGCAGTGTGGCCTGTGATCTCCTGATTAACTTGGAGAAAGTCACTTGTTGTGATTTTTTTCTCTTTTCTTTGCTCTTCTTTGCTTTTTTTTTTTAAGAAAACAAAATATTTGAAGACTTCTCTTCCTTGATGTGCTATTCAGTAAATCTACAGTGCCTGTAGTCGTAGAACAGCAGTTTATCCAGGCTCATGGTAATCATGTAGTTACTTGACATAGAAATCTTAAATAAGATGAGGAACAAAACTGATACTTGTATGAAATATTTTCTGCAACATCTGTAGCACTTCTAAACAGGCTTTTAAATAAGCATTTTAGCTGTGTCCAAAAAAAAGACAGATGAGAAATTCCAAGTTTTCTTTGCATTTCAGAATATATAAATCAGGTGGCTAATAGAGTTTAAGTATTAATATAGGTGAGTACAAAGCATCCCCAATGACACTCTTGGTTATTACTGTAAGCAGCAGTAAGTATAATGAATTAGTTACAGAAGGTAAATACACAATGCATCCAGCTGGAGTGTGGGGATTAAATAAGGCAGATGTCACTGAAAATGTTGTTTGTATACTGCAGAGAAAACAGAAGTGTGCATCTGTTTGAGTGCCCATATTTACATTAGTGAATTATTTTGATTTATTAAATTCTGGGAGCTAAGTTAGGGCTGTCTGTGTAACCAGTTCAGTTGGGGCAGTAGATTTGCTACACCAATCATACAGTGTTAGTTTTCCTTCAGCTGAGAAACTGCACTTCTGTTGGTAGGGGGAACATTGCTGTGCTGCACAGTTGGGTCCTGTGAGGTCCAGCACTTCCCAAGTGTAGCTCTCCTAGCATCACAAAGAATTGATGTCCCTTTGGGTGATACAGCTGGGATGCTTAGTTACTCTCTGAGTGAGAAAGGCACTAAGTGATACTCTTTTGCAGGCTGTCAGTGACATTTTCTTTTAAGATGACATTTCTGTGGGAAGTCTCACTCATTGCTTTCCTTAAATCTTTTTTGCAAGTTAAAGCATGAAGATATATAGACTAAATCAAGAAGCTGTTGAAAATGTTACGCTTCTTGGACGAGGTATGTAGGAAGTGATGCAGTACTAGAGGAAGAGAAGTAATGAACGGAGTTTGTATTTCTTGTCCTCTGCATGGAGCTGTGTGTAAATGTCTTAATGCTTCTTGATTATCTTTTGAAAGTAGCACTGAATCTCTGACCAGTGCTTATACAAAAATAACGCCCTCAACTTGTTGATTCGTAACAGATTTTTTTTGTATTTCTGTTGATAAGATAGCTTGCAAAAAAGGGACTCAGGTGGTGCTGCCTGCATCTGAACTCACCCTTGCTGCTTAGCAGTATGAAGACACAGAATTTCTCAGGTGGTTCTTCTGAATCTCATGTGTGGCCTGAAATAATACATTTTTGGATGAATTCTGCAAGGTATGCTCTAAGCATCATCAGAAGCGAATGCTGGGATGAGCAAGCTCATACAAGGGTAGAAGTCAAGAATTGAGAAGGTGTACCTGAACCCCAGTGGTTGTGTAACATGAGATAGGGCAGAATTCCTAAGTGTGGGGTTGGGTGGGTGTGTTGTTGGTCAGATCTGCACCTGCCCAGGTTCATGGCAAGTAGCCTTCTGTGTATTATCCATTGTGATCCTTGGGCTTTCTGCTCTTGCTGCTCTCTAGGAGCAATTGCTGCCTTTGGTGGTATTTATCATCTAAGTAATTATACAGTACAAGTATCTAATGCTGCTTGGTTCTGCAGTGGTGGAGTATGCTTTGGCAATGCAAATAACAGGGCTTAGACTAATGAAGTTTACTCTTTCTAAGCAATAACTTAAACCCAAGGGATTTCCAATTGACAACAGAAGCAATTAAGTAGCTAGGTATTAGTATAATGAACTGAATTAATTGAAATAAATCTTGGTGCAGTCATTGGCTGATCTGAATAAGGCATTAATATATGGATGGGAACTACTGAACCTTAGCTTGCAGCAAGTTTAATGGTTGCGAGAAAGTATTACCAATAGTCTTGCAAGACTTTTATTCTTTGTGTTTCCAAATACCAGTTTGGTGTACTAACTGGCCACTGTTATCTTCTTGATAGCACACAACATCCTGGCTCAGTCTGTGAGCATCTGAAAGCCCTTAAATTGGGGTTTCAGTGCTAAAGCTTGTCAATATGGTCAACACAACACTGAATGACATGGGTGAGCAGAGGTAGCTCTGGGGATGCAGAAGGATCTCTGGGGCTGTTCCTGATTGAATACAGCTGTGCTGTATTATCCTTCTGCAAATATATTAGTACTAGGGGCAAGATACTTGTCTTTCCCTGGAACTTTGGTAATGGGTTTCTTTGCTACCAGCATGTTTGTCTGACACATTCTTTTGTTTTTATTCTTTGCTTGTTCTGTTTCTTGCCCCATCCTCTGTGTAATTTAAAGCAATCAAGTGTGAGGTACCTGTCTCCCAGCTGTGTTAGTATACTTTCATTCTGTTACAAGTTCTTGTTTCTCAGTCTCCGTTCCTCATCGGCAAGCTGAGCTGTTCAGGTGCTGGCTGCCACTTCTGCTGAAATAGGTTGAGAATTAGTTTCAACTTTATCCTTCCTCCCTTCACCCTTTTCTCCTTGGGCTATGTGGTATCAGTTCTCCAGTTGCTTCCCAGAATATGCTCTGTAGGAGACACCCTTTCTTCATTGCTTTCCTTGATTTGTTAACCTTCGCAGCTCCTTGTCTTCCTCGTGTGGCTTTTCCCTCAATGCTTCTGGAATT